TGTATAAAGGTTCAGGGCTTTTAAAATGTATTAGTTTTTTGTTGTTGGTTTTTGTTTTGTTTTTGCGTAAGTCCAAATCTTATAGGAGTAGGGCTCCAAATAATAAAATATATTTTGTCCAAAATAAGCTTTTTTCCTTATTGTGAGACTCGCTGTGTGTACAATCCAGGCTGACCTTAAATTCATGATTTTCCTGCCTTAATTTCCCAACTACTAAAATTATAGGCATTAATCACTGTGATCAGTCCAAGAGGCTTTTATGGTTTTCAAGTTGCCTAAATTTATAAAAGAGAAACTAATAGGCAGGAAGTTGACAAGGAATTAAGCTTTTTGTAACTGTATGTGCCTCTACTCCTAACAGGCAAGCATGAACTATCTGTTGGGATATCTGTTGTGGAGTAATTTCGTAGGTTTAATGAAAAGAAAACCAGCTTGGTGACTTGTGCCTATACTGCCAGCTCCCGGGGAGGCTGAGATAGAAAGATCACTTCAGCCTATAGCTTCGAGACCAGCATTGGCAGCATAAACAGACTCTGTCTCACCAAAGAGACAAAACCACCGAAAGAGTGATGTTTCCTTGAATGTGTAGCTGGTTTGGTCACAGTGTGTGTAAGAGTTAGTTTACATTGCTGCTGGAACAAAATTTAAAACCTTTGTTCTTCATACATAGCCTTAAGAGACTGAAAAAGACAAACTAAAGATTGGGGGAAAATATGCACAAATCATGTGTGTGTGTGTGTGTGTGTGTGTGTGTGTGTGATATACATAAAAGACACAGCTATACCTATCTATCTAAACATACTTCAAAAAACTTACGTCTAGAGTATATGAAGAATTCTAATAACTCCATAGTAAGGAAGCACAACCTGTTTTGTTTTTGTTTTGTTTTTGTTTTTTGTTTTTGTTTTTTGTTTTTGTTTTTTGTTTTTTTTGTTTTGAAAGGTAAAATGAAAAAGCAAACAAATTTACCAAAAAAGATATTCAAATGGAAAAATAAATAAGTTAAAAGATATTGTCATTATTAGCTACTAGGGAAATGCAAATGAAAACCACAACTAGCCAGGCACATGCATTTTAGAACGGTTAAAACCTAGAGTAATGAATCCTACCAAGTTTTGGAGCAGACGAAGCAACAGGCGGGCATTGCCAGCAGTGCGGGTTGAGGCAGCCACCGTGTCAAGGGTTTGGTTGTTTAACAAAGTTAAACTTACATCTACATATGACCTAGAAAGTCCAGTCTTGAGTATTTGTCTTAGACCTAGAGATTTGTAGTCAAACAAGAATGCATGAATGTCTATAGAGCCTCTACAAATAACAAAGGAAACGGAAGCAACCAAATGTGTTCTCTGAAGGTGAAAGGATAAACAAACCATGATGCCCCATATTAAATATCAAGGAATACTGTTCAGCAACAGAAAGGATCAAACTACTGATACATTTGAAAATGTGAATGAATAAAAAAACACTATGCTGAATGAAAGAAGCAAGATACAAAAGGATCATACTATATAGATCTATTTGAAATTTATTTCAGTAGTTCATTTTAATACGACTAATACCGTATAATTGCAAATTCTAGGAAAAGCAAATTTCTTTCTTTGGAGTGAAGTCTTTATAATAAATATATTATTATTTATTATTCTGCCTGTACACCAGATCTTACTATAGATGGTTGTGAGACACCATGTGGTGTCTGGGAATTGAACTCAGGATCTTTGGAAGAGCAGCAAGTGCTCTTAACCTCTGAGCCATCTCTCCGGCCCCAATAATTATATTTTTAAAATACACTTGAGAAATGTGTAATGCTGCCTGCATTAGATGCAATTCTGGGCCACAAGTCTGCACACGCCTTTGCAACTGAACCAGAGGTAGCGGAACCTTTCATCTCGCCTTTATTGTTTACTCTGACCCCTGCACTATCTTCAAAATAAAGACTCATCTTTTTTTCTGTATGACTTGCACTGTTGGATTACCACTGCTGGTTGGACGTTTTTGCTTAGCTCTGGTTTGCCTTCCTTAACTGTGGCCATTGCCATGTCACCCACAAGCAGCAGGAAGTCTGTCCAGCCGTCCCTTGATTCCCTTCACGGAGATGATAGGCAAACTTTTGGCTCCTGCATTGTCAGCACAGTTATCACACCAAGAGACCCAGGGAAGTTGCCAGTTTTGCTCCAGAGGATCGACCATGTCCTCACTTCAACACCTTGAATACGTGGAAAGAGAAAGGCACAGATTTCATTTTTGATGTGACAAAAAAATCAGAATAGGGACTGCCTGGAGACTGACTGCAGAACTCTTTGAAATGAATAGTGATTATGGTGGTGGACATGGGTGCATTCATTTGTTAAGAGTCAAAGTTGAAAATGTTCACATCTTATTATCTAGCCAGATTTCTTTTTAGTAGATTGCAATGTTTATCAAGTTGCTGCTAGAGACTCACTATGAATGAGCCATCAAAGGACAATAAATCATTATCTTGAAAATAATGAGGTCCAGGCTTTGCATGCAAAGGCTTGATTAATTTTGTATTAATTTTGTGAGCCAGACAGATGGTTCAGAGGGAAAAGGCACTTGCCACCAAACCTGATGACTGAGTTTTATTCCTAGGACCCACATGGTAAAAAGTGAGAAGTAACTCCCCACAGGCTGACCTCTGACTGCCATACAGTTGATATGGCACAAACACATCCATACATGAATAACAATAAAAAACCCTCTAAAAATAAATTTACAGCAGTACAATTTAGAAAAAAATAAGGAGTTTTACAATGACTTTAGGCTCTATAAAACCGGAATCTGCCTCTAGATGACCAGAATTTCTTAATGAAGTGGAATAGAAAAATGTGAGATTTGCAATATCTTTGTTTCAGGTTCCTTTTAAAATTGTATTTCTTACTGATCTGTGTGTCTGCTGTTGAGAGTCTGTTGTCTCCTTCAGCTATAGACTCTGGGCACCGAATGCAGGTCATCATGCTTGCCTGGCAAATAAGTGCTTTTGCCCCCTTGAGCCATCCTGTCAGCCCTGTTTCAGTTTATACAATGGGTTGTAAACACATTTACTTATGCCGGGGTCTGTGTTTGGACATACACGAATATGCACACAGGGGGCGTGCGCACACACACACACACACACTAAAAACTCAGTGCTGTGTAAGAATCCTATGTAAGAAGATAGATGCATATATAACAGCAGGGTGTCGAAGAATGGACTTTTGGAGCTAACCCAAACACTCATGAACATGAACGTAAGGAATATTCTGCTTTGTGTTTGTGGTGGAATTTTCTACAGTTAAAAAGAAAAAGAAAAAAAAAAAACCAACACAAAACTAAACCTAAGCTACATGTATCGGGTCAGATGATTGTCACAAAGCTAAAGCAAGTCAAAGAACCGTGATATTAATAGGATAAAGTTTAAAACGATTTTAAAAAAACCATGATGTAATGTTGATGTACTGTTCCTACAGTGTAGGTGAAGGGGGTGAGGCTGGTAAACAGGACGGAAGAGCAATGGAGGCAAATGAGGGTGGTCAGTTGGTAATACTTTCGTTATTGTTATTATTACTACTATTATCAAGACAGGGTTTCTCTGTGTAACCCTGGCTGTCCTGGAACTCCCTATGTAAACCTGACTGGCCTCCAACTCAGAGATCTGCCTGCTTCTGCCTCCCAAGTACTGGGATTAAAGGTGTGTGCCTCCACCTCCTGGCAGTAATCCGTATTACTTCGGACCTGAGTGGTTTGGGCGTCTACACCTCAGTCTTTATGGCGGCCTGATAAAAATAAATGAAACATAAACGACTGTAGAACAGGAACTTGGGATAGCAGAACGACTGTATGTATATATACAAGTGTCTGCTGGCTGCATGCATATGATTTGTAGGCCTGGCGCCCAGAGGCCTAGAACCGGAATTGCAGATGGTTGTGAGTTGCGGGAGCCAAACCCTGGTTCTCTGAGAAAGCAATGTTCGTAACAGTTGAACCGTTTCCCCCGTCCCAAGATTTAAGGGCATATCTGTGGACTCAGCAATTCCTCATTTAGACCAAATTTGCATGTATCTCCAAAGGCACGGAACTCTAAATCAAGAGTTTCTTCAATTCCAGCCTTAGTTGTTTGCCCCACCCACTCGTGCCTAGGTTTGGGAAGGCGCCAATTCAGTGGCTCAATAATATAAATAACCGCGGGAATGTTTAACCAAAAAAGCGTTGGTTTTGAAATGCCGAAAGGGAAACGTTGGAAATAGGAATATAGGTAGATCACCAAAGAATGACTCTGATGGATGAAGTTAAAGAGGTAGCAGGCCGGTTCCCTACCAGCTCCGCCCACTGGCTCACCTTTTACTACTTAGATTTCACTTTTTGTAAACCCTCATATGCAATGCTCACGACTGTTCACTTCCGGCTCCCCAGAAGCCACCTTTTTGAAAAACGAGGCCCATTCTAAAGCCAATCAAAAATGCAACTTTGCCTAGTTTTCAACCCAAACCCCAATCTCTGCGCCCACAGTTCCTCAGTGACTTCGTTCTCCTTTAAATAGCGTTGGCTGTTAAAAAAGGAGATGGGGTTCTCACTTCTTAAGGTTTGAAAACTTTAAAACCCATTAACACCCAAATGACGTTTGTCGTTAAAAAGTAAAAAACGGCGTCTACTGCGAAGGAGAAGTCTGTAGTGCAGACCGTGGTTCTGGCTGGTGGAGCCCCGCTTCAACAGCACGAGCGGGAAGGACGCCTTAGGAAAAGCTTGTGTGCTCTAGTTATTGCGGTAGAAGAACCCTTCGACAGAACGCAAGAAGCCCGGGAAAGATGCGCCGGGAGCCCAGGCACCGCGGGTGGGCGCCTGGCCCCGGCGGTGGGGTTGGAGCGGCTGGGCTGTTGCACTGAGGACCCGCCCTCGAGGCTTTTGGCAAAGACCCGGAGGCTTCTGGCTGGCCGACGGCTAGGCAGGCTCCACAGGTCCCTTTAAGGCGCCGTCCGCGCGGAAAAAGGGGAGCGCAGGGGGCGGGAGCAGGGTTCGCGATCGCACGCCACGTGACTCGGCTGCCGAGTCCGCCAGGGAGTCTGACCCAAGTTTGAATCCGACTCGGGGGCTTTCTGCAGCCGGCGTGGCAGCGCGGCGGACACGGCCTCGCAGCAGCGCCCCCACGACCCAGCCCGCCAGCCTGGAGCCCGGCCTTCCCACGGCCGCGAGCCCGCCGCCCCCAGCGCCCCCGCGCGCCCCGCAGCCTCCCGGCCAGGGAGCCGAACCCCTCCACCGCGCCCCGCCGCTCCAGCATGTCCTCGACGGAGAGCCCCGGCCGCACCTCGGACAAGTCTCCTCGCCCACAGGTACGCCCCGAGCGCCCGGCCCCCGGGCTCTTGGCCAGCCCCTGTCCACCCAGACGGTCTGCTGGAGTCCGATTCCGCCTTCCCCGCCCCGCCCCCCCCCCAGGGTGAGTAGAGGGGGGACCCACGCTTTCCCTCCGGGCCCGCCGCCTTGACCAGACCGTTGGCTCTGTTTCGGCAGGTGGACCGCCTGCTCGTGGGACTGCGCTGGCGGCGCCTGGAGGAGCCGCTGGGCTTCATCAAAGTTCTCCAGTGGGTGAGTCGGCCCTAACCCCGGGCTATTTCGGGAGCCTGGGTTGTGACGCCGACCCGAAGCAATGTGGCCCCGGAGGAGGCTGGGGAGATGCAACGGGTAGCAACAGGTGGGAGGGGGGAGGGGAAGACCAGGGCTGCTTCTCCAGCGCTCAGTGGAGGGAGAGAGAGGAGCCAGGCATGCGGAGTCCCGGATTCGGACCTTCTATGTGCAAGGCGCCTTTGCCCAGGGCGCTCACATTTCACTCGGGCGAGAGGACCCGGGTGTAACCTTTCCAGAACTCTGATCCTGCACATACCGCTCATCAGCGGCGGGAGGGGTGAGGAGGACAAGGAGGGTAAGGTCCGCTTTGCCGTGAAAGCAAAGAGGGCACCGGAGGGAAGGAAGAGGGCTACAGAAACCATCCTGCCCAGAATCCTCTGGGGCCTGGATGATCCTGGGGGTGGACTCAGGGGACAGACTCCCAGCTGAGGTCACTGGAGTAACTTGGGTGCCTGTAACGGAGTAAAGAAGAGAATGAATGAATGAACCGTTTCCCACTCCAACGATTAAATAAAACAATTACGACAGAAGGAAAATCACGGCACGACTAAAATGTGGCAGCTAGCATAACGGAACACTGAGCTGGGAAGGTGAGACGGTAGATTGGAGGCCTACGTCGAGCTTTCTCAGCTCTGTGACCTTGGGCAAGTCGCTTCTCTGGACATCGGTTTCCAAAATTAGTCAAACATGGATCAAACCTGTCAGCATGCGAGAATATAACTCTACATTAAATTTACCCTGTGACCTTGAAACTGTGCCCAGGTCCTCAGTTTCCCCTGCTTTCGTCTACTGGGAATACTGTTCCGTTTCACTGGTCCTTTAAAGCTTTGTAAGGTAAACCCTCTGTTCTTAGACCTAACACCCACCAAGTTCTCCATAAATTAGGAACGTGGATCAATACAGTCAGTTTTTCAAATCTGGGGAACTTTTCTTGCATTCTTGCAGAAGGGATTTTTTTTTAGACAATCCATATACCAAATGCTAAATGCTGGATTCAGCTAGGGGGAAACTTACTGTTAATACCTGGGAGAACTGAGTTCTAAAGAGCTTTGAATTCACTGGAGAGAGGACTTAGCAAAATGGCACTGAATCTTAAATAATTGTGGTTTGGATAGGAATCATCAAATCTGGAGTGCATTTCAGACTCTCCCTGGTTATCACAGACCCTCAGGGGCTGCAGGCTCCTTAGGGAGTCCCAGGCATAAATAAACTGTGGGGCTTTCCACTTTTTCTGCTGCCTCAAGAAAGAGTGGGGCCAACACTCACTGAACTCTGTCACCTCTTGCCCTCCCTCGTTCTGACTTGAGTACCAGATGAACAGAAAAGCACATAGGAACCAGTGTGAGAAATAGTCCTCACCAGAGGAGAAACAGAAGGCACAGATCTTGTAGTTATTATAATGGTAATTGAAAACTTTTATTATTATTATTATTATTATTATTATTATTATTATTATTATTATT